CCCCCCTCCGATGCCCCAACAGCCGGAGAGAAGGCATGAAAATGCCCCCCGCGCTGTCCCGCCTAGAAGTAGGCCGCCAAGGAGGGAGGAAGAGGCTAGGAACCGCCCAGGACCTTCTCACCAACAACCTAGGTACGAGGCTGAAGATTACGATTCTAATGAGCAACAGAGGTCCTGTGACTTGGACGATGACGATGAGAACCTGCCATTCTCAAGAATACTAAGAGATGCCCAGGTCCCAAGCCACTATGTTATGCCGAAAATACCAAAGTATGACGGGAGAGGTGACCCAGAAAAGCACCTCAATGCTTACAAAACTCACATGAGCCTGAGAGGCGCCACCCCAGTCGTAAAATACAGAGCATTCCATTTAACCCTCAGTGGAGCGGCTGAAATCTGGTATAGTAGGCTACCATCTGGGAGTATCCGAAGTTGGCTAGAGTTCAAAACTACCTTCTTGAAGAGGTTCGCAGTAAGCAAGGAATGAGAGGCCCCCATCCAGCGCCTTCAAGATATGAGACAGGCGCATGGCGAGTCCTTGAAAAGCTTTCTATCCCGCTTCACTGACGAGATGACCTACTGTGTACAAGTCACCGACAGGGAAGCACAATTTGCGTTGAGAGGAGGATTGAACATGAACACCCTATTCTGGAGGGACGTGCAGAATCAAGACCCAACCACCTATGACGCCCTACTAGAGATGATGAGAAGGGAGATAATCAATGAAGAATTGATTGAGCATAGGAACAGGGCAAGCAGAGGCCTCCCACCTCCTCAAAGGCAGTGAGGTAGGGGACCGACCTCTCACCTCATGGACTACCAGATGAACCGAGCCGGAAATGAGAACTTCGGCCAAGCCCTGGCCACCACAACTTTGAACGCGATTCCAACCTTGGCATATGAGGATGTCAACCCAACTGCTGATGCACACCCGACCGAGGCCCAGCAGGGACCCCGTAGAGGGAGAGGACCTCCCACCTCATGGACTACCAGATGAACCGATCTGGAAATGAGAACTCCGGCCAAGCCCTGGCCACCACAACTCTGAACGCGGTACCAACCTTGGCGTATGAGGATGTCAACCCAACCACTGACCCACATCAGCTACAGGCGCATCAGGGACCCCGTAGAGGGAGAGGCCGAGGTCGAGGTCTAGGTTTTGCACCTAGAAATAGGTCCAATCCGAACCTTCCCGGATACTGTTTGCACCATAGGTCCTACGGGCACGACACCGCGGATTGCAGAGACTATGCACACCGCTCGCGGCAGGAGCCCGCCAGGGAAAGACATAACTCGCCCCAAGCCAACAGGCCCCCGCCCAGGCAAGACAACCGACATGGGCGTGAGGCGGCCGCTCCTCGCCAAAGGGATGTTTCCCCAAGGTGAAGAGAGCAAGACACGGAGAGGCCCAGGGAAGGGCGTAGACACCGACGAAACAGGCAGGCTCAAGATGAAGCCCCTATCCACGAGATAGATACCATATTTGGAGGCCCTTACGTTGGCGGGGAAACGCGAAACGCCAAAAGAAACTATGCTAGGGAGGCTAAGCACCCCCCTCTGACAAGTTACATTGTAGATAATAGCTCCCGAAGAAACCAAGCACCACCCATTGTCTTCACCCAGGAAGACGCCGAAGGAGTTCATTACCCCCACTGCGATGCACGAGGGCGGTCATAGCCCGAAATGGGCTCAAACGAATGCTTGTCGACAATGGCAGCTCCGTCAACATCTTATTCGGGTCCGCCTTGGACAAGATGATATTGGACCATTAGTTGACACCCACCACCACTCCATTGTACGGATTTACCGGAGATAGCATTACTCCGAGAGGAAAGATAACACTGGCAGTGGAGATGGGAGAATCTCCTCAAACTACGATGAACTTTATGGAGTTCCTCGTAGTCGACAGCCGGTCGGCTTACCACGG